GGCCATAGAATTTGATTAAAACTCTTGACCTCCTGTGACTTCAATTTTCTATCAAAAAAGCAAGAATGCCCACCTTTCAGGGTTGTTTGGAGTATAATGTAACATATAAATGCTTAACCTTAAGCAACGGGTATTAGCACACATTAGAAGGGCAGATTAGCACGGGGATTAAGGGCTTGGGTTCTGGAACTGGACCTGGATTTTGATTTCCAGTTCTACCACTTACCTAGTTCTTTAATTGTGTACTTTCCTTAACTTCTCTTTCTCCATTTCCCCATCTTTAAAATAAGGACAATAATAGTACCTACCTCGGAGGATTGCTATGACGGTAAAATAAAGGGCACAGTATAGTGTGTAGCACAAAGTAGGTGTTCATATAACTCTTAGCTCTTGCTGGAGATAGAGCTGTTTTGGATGTGACTTCAGTTTGTCAGCAAAATTAGTTAAGTGCCTGGGACAGTAACCACTTTTTTTGTATATGTAAAACATGAGTGTAACTTGTAAGAATTTTTTGTGATAGTTGATTACTTCTAAGCTTAATGGTGCCATCTATATAGTCCTGTGTGGGAATATTTGCCTATGAGGCATATAATGTAGTCTATATCCTCAATATGAAGTTGGAAATTAGAAAGAAGAAATGGGTGTGGGGGGTATGATAGATACATTTTTCTCTATTTCTTCAATTTAGTTTATATATTTTTTTCCTTTTTTCTCCCCAGTAAATTCCCAGAATATCAGTAATCTCTCATGACTCTTTCCACTTCACATTGTTATTTTCCTAAAAAAACAAAACAAAACAAATTAGTAGTACTGCTGTACCAAGCCTTGGTGTCTTATTGAATTCCATTTTGATTTTAGAGGGGAAAAAAAGGCTCTATGTTTCAAATTTGTATGTATGGGTGTGGGAGGGAGTGAGAGAGGGAAGTGAATTGCTTTTATGGAAAACCTTCCTAGACTAGTGCCCTGAATCACTGGCCACATACAGCCAATGTTTTATTGTATTCTTTCATGGGTTTAGAGAAGTTGTACCTGGTGAGGTCTGCAAGCCTAATGCTTTGTAAGAGTATCTTGCTTTATCTTGTTAGGTTGGTTTACTGCTTCCCGAATTCTAGAAGTAATATTCATTTTGTTCAGAGGATTTCAAGCCCATTAGAGTGTAGATATTGACACATCATAGATTCTATACCAAAAGGAGCTTGAAAGTTGAATAAAAACATTTCTTTATGGTCTTTTTCAGAAGTTGGGCACTTGAAAGAGGAAGAACTTAAAGTATAAAGTGTAGTATCTTCTTCCTGAAGGTTCTACTTGCTTTAAGCCTCCACCTGGGAACGTCAAAACTTCCCCCTTGTAAGAATGTTGTGTTGCAGCTAAGTCTGTGCTAAGTTCTGCTCTTAGTCTTTGCTGCACCCATTCAACCCCCTGATGTTCATTTTCTCTAATATCCTTCAGGTTATTGAGTATCTTAGCTGGATGGGTGTGGACACACGTTGAGTTAAATACTATATGGGGCACTGGTTTGTTGCCTGTTTATGTACCTGGCATTTGAAGTTTTGAATGCAATATAAAATGAGGGTAATCAGTACCCCATCAATGTTTAAAATCTGTACGGAAAAGTCATTCACACATAGCAATTTATGATCTCTAGGCACATCAGTTTAGTGACACAGTGACAGACAGAGGAACAATTTTAAGGAAGCCAAATACAGTAGCTGCCAGCTAGGAAGAGAATTAGGAAGTATAAAAATGGACAGCCCCTTCCAAGTATTGCATCCTGTACAGGTGCCGTCGTGATAGGGCACCCTGTCTCCGAGCCCTCCCTCGATTGTGTCTCCTACTTCCTGGGCACATAGGAAATAGAAACCTTTCCCTCCTCCCTCCCTCCCTCCCCCCTTCCCTCACTCCCTCCCCCACTTCCTTTCCCCCCTCTCTTCCTTCCTTCCTTCCTTCCTTTAAAAAAAAGGACATGTGTTATTACTCAAAAGAAGTATGGAAGGTAGTCACTTCAATTCATGGTCTTGAGCAGCTCAACAGTGTCCTCAAGGACCCAAGCTCCTTCCATCTCCTGTCACAGGTCCTCAGTGTGTTGGCTTTGTCCTCATGCTTGTTTCCTTGTTTCCCCGTTGCTGCAACATGACTATTGCTGCTCCGTAAAGCCATTTGTCACACGACTCAGACAAGGTTTTACATAGGTAGTGTAGGAGTCTACTCACATGCTCTTCTTTTCTCAGATACCTGCAGGGTGAGGAGCTTAATATGAGAGGGTAGCATGGGAAAAAAACACAAAACGATCTTTGAAGAGACTTTGGGCATTTGTGCAAAGTAAGTGACTGTATTTTTGAATATATAAATGGAAAACACATGTATGCTAAGTGACAAGTATATGCTCCAAAGTCTTGAAATATGTGAGGATTCAGGGTATGATTTACTTCACTAAATCCCTAAAAAATATGTGAGCGCTTGACAATGTTCTAATTTTTGCTTTTACGCATGTATATGTTGAAAGTTTCCTCTAAATCAGTTCCTGTCCACTTTAATGTTTTTATTTTGGAGGCATATTTTCCCATACCCATGACCTCAGGACATTGTGGATGCTCAGTGAAAACTGCTGATGAACTGACTGTGATGTTTAAGATAAGCCTTTTAGTTACGCAGAATCTTATCCTCTCTTCCTCTCTAGCCAGGAACCATATTCTTTGTGAACCTAAGGAATGTTGAATTTAAACCGTAACTTCTGTGGCTCTTGCCAATCAAATCAAACAGTAGGGGAAACTGCAGTGGGGGGCAGGCAGAGGTGGTGAGTTCTTTGAAGCTAGACCCTCGAGGTCATGATTTCTCCACTCACCAGTCTTTTGCCTTGGGATCCCTTCTCAGAATCCACACACTGGAAGAGAGTAACAAATAATACACACTGGGGTCAGTGTCTTAGTTGCACTAAAACTACTCTCCCGTTCTTTATGTTGTGAGGCTTGTTCACAACGCTCTTCTGTAAGCTTAGCACACACAGGAAGAGAGCATTGACTGACAAACTACCTAGCAAAGATCAGTTAGTTCTCTACAGCTTTGTCTGGTCAGCCAAACCCAAAGCCTTTTGGACCCAAGTCTGTCTTTCTATTTTACTATGGTAAGTCATTTTCTCTTTTTAGCTCTAGCCAGGTTTTGCCCCCAGTGTAAGCTGGAATTTTCTCTCTAATCCACTTGGCCGCTGAGAAAACGTGTTGCTCCATAGGCTATGTCCATGGTTTTAGCTGAATTGAATTCTAAGCTGTTTAAGACAGTTTCCTGATTGAAGGCGTTATCTTGTCCTCAGTTTTTACAGTGCTCTCAACTCTTGACCAACTTCTCACTTTGAACTGTTTATTCTTGGGCTTATTCCTTCTGCTGTCTGTTAGTCTTCCCTTTCTGAGCGTCTACCATTATACTCTTGTTTTATTCAGTTTAGTTTCCTCCTCATTAGTCATTGGTCCCTGACTTGCCCATTACATGCACATTTATTTCCATCATATTGTTTGAGACCAAGAGACTGACAGTTTGCCTTCCATTAATTGGTTAACATAAATATATTTTGCTGTGCAATGAGGAGGGCTGTATTTATTGTACATAAATATATAACATAGTGACTTATTCAGTAGTTTATAAAGATTTGGGTTTAACTTTGCCATTTTTTTTTCAGGAGTTGGTTGTCTGCAACCCTACTAGAGTATGTGATTTGCATGTGAAGCTCAGGCAAGCCAGGCATAATAGGAAGATTTTATACATAGAACTGGCTTTTTCAAAGGTGGCTTCCATTTTTAGAGACATTGAAAAAGTTATAATGGATTTATAATTTTATTCAATCATTTCTCAGTACTTTTGAGTTATTAAAACAGTCCTTTAGTAATTATTGGTTTTCCTCGATAAACATTTATGGTGTTTTTTTTAAACGTATTCTTTTGTAATCTAATAAGAGTGGAAAGGGGTTAGAAGCCAAATCTGTAATGATATGCAAGAGATGACAGCACTGACAGTGAGTAAAGAAATATGGTGTCATTGCTTTTATTTCATACTCTCCAAATTACCTGTGATGAGCTTAAGCAGTCTCATTCATGAATAAAAAAATTTTAATTATTCACAGTGCTTTGGTGTACTATAAAAGCAGAATTATTAACACTGTGATTTGTTCAGATAGCATTTGGTAGGAAAATATATCAGAAATAATTAATTGTTTTCAAGATATGATAAGGCAGCTGTATCTACAGGGGGCAATCAAAAAGAATAGTAGTGGGCTATTGATTGCTTTTTAGAGAAAAAAAATTCTGTCCCATTTCTAAATGTTAACAATTGTAAGAGGAAAATCCCCACTTGGGAAGAATGTTTTCCAGGTTGCTTCACTGCCAGGTGTTTGACATTGCATGGAGTCTTAGATGAATAAGGCTTACGGCAGTCTTAGGGAATGCTGTCCTCAAGGGCCTCAGCTTTCTGCTATGAAAGCTTCTATTTTCAAAGTAGGCCAGTATCGGTGGGAATGTTCCAGTGGTCTCTGTGCTACTTCTGGTGAAGAGCAAAGTTTCCCCCCTTGAATCTGAGAGACCTACAGAAGAGGATACCTACCTGCTAACAAAATAAATTTCAGAATGTTGCCAGTGAATGAACTGCATTTTCTACTGTTTATGGGATTTGACTCTCATTTATCAATGGGAATAAACCTTGCCTCTTTTGGTCCCTTGTAACATACCTGCATGGTACAGATATGATTTATAATCATTCTAAAGTTTAAGAAAATCCAAATCATATGATAGTTTGCTTTGAGACCATCCATATTTTCCCCTTTCCCTTTTTCTGTCTCCTTGACCTAGCAGCAGGAAGCCTTTGTTTGAGGTGTTCATCTGGAACAACTTTTCCACACTTGTTTTCATGTTCTGTTAGATTACAGGGCAGCAGGCCTACCTTTGAAGCTCCTTTCTCTTTTGTTTCTTTGGCGTGCACTCCAGTAATTAACTTTGTCCTTCTTTTATTTGTTCCAGTCAATCGCAGGCCACTCTGCTGAGCATCTTCTCCCAGGAGTACCAGGTTAGAAGTTTTCTCCTTTGTGAGGGTTGACAGGTGCCTAATTGAATGATGAATGTCCCTTTATTTCTTTGTAATTGAACTGCCAGCTCTCTGATTGGGTTGGAGGATATTCTCCTTTCCACATCAAGCACCGCCTGCGTCTCAGTGGAGGCCTGCCAAGCCTACCCATCCATCTGTCTAATAACATCTAGCCTTTGCTTATTTGGTGGACCTGTAATAAATTATGCTAAACCATTATTATTCTGACAATAATAATTTCCCTGTGTTGCGTGGTTCCATGTGCTAAATGTTTGCTGACTTGCACTGTCAGTGCCGCTTTCCATTGCTGACAGAGATGATGATAAATGACCATTGCTGGAGTGGCAGAAGGCAAGAGAGGCAGAAAATGGAGTCATTTATCATGAGATGACAGGTGTCAGTCAAGTGGCAAGTCTCTATGGGATTACTTTTTGTAGTTTTCAAATAAGTTGTTTTTAAGCAATGTTCTTCCTGGTTAAAAATGGCAATTGGATTGTAAAACTAGAGTGCGGAGGACTTAGATGGAATTGAATTGAGGGAAAATTAATACAAAGGTTGAAACAGGGAACAAGTTTTTCTTTGCCCTCTACAACCCTAAGCAAACTTAATTTAGATTCAATTACTATGACCCTGTTGGCTTTTACATATATACTGTACCTTGTGGTACAGTCTGGAGACATCCCAGCCACGCAATAGAGATTAAAATGCATAGGTTCACAGAGTAGAAGGGAAAAAAGATCTACCACCACCCAAATCCCCAAACTATTATTCGGTTTGCCCTTTATGTTAGACATTGGAATCAAGAAATGTGTCATTTTTGTTCTTGAACCTGATCTGTGACACAACATAAAAATCTTTTTTATTTTGTTTCAGAAACATATTAAGAGAACACATGCCAAACATCATACTTCGGAAGCGATTGAAAGTTATTACCAGAGGTATGACCTGCCTGCCCCACTAGAGGGTATCATAATACCTATTAATTGTAATAATAATTATGAATAAATTAGATTAATAAATTGATTTTCTATATAACATTCCAAGGCATCTTGTTTTAAGTCTCTTATTTAAGACTTCAAGTATATTTTTTTTAATTTCTCAAATACTCTGTTATATGGATTTAAAGAATATGGTGAGACCATCTTAATTTACATGTGTCTGAAGTCTTTACTATGTAAGAAATTGTTCCAGTATTAGAAAATCTCAGTTGGATGCTTGAAACTGTAAGCACATATCTTGGATAGATGCGTATGTTCATGAATACGTATATCTACACGTATATGTGAAAGTTCTCAAACCAATTTTATTTCTTATTTAAATCAGCAATTTGAAAAGTATATTAGAAAATAAGATTAAATTTTGGTACAGTTGTATTTTGCATCGTCAGTATTGGGTTAGCCATTTTAGAAAGGCAAAAAAAGATATAAATCAAGTAAGGACATATGGAGACACATAATAATGTACAACTGTCAGATTTTAAGAGGGGTTTATATTTTAAAAGGAAAGTCTTGAGTATTGAATCAATAACATGATGTTCAGGAGATATTTTAATTTCAGCCTAATTTATTATAGTTCCCAACCTCTTGTTCTGAAACAAAAAGAATCTTTAAAATAGCTCCTTTTTTAAAAAATTAAAAGTTTTTTGGCTTTGTAATATGAGTGAATAACTTACAATGGTAAATGGTTATGGTTTGCATTAGAAATTATTGGTTGCCTTCTTAAATATTTTAAGGGCATACCGGAAAGGAAAACAGTTTGAAATATGCTCTTAAATTATTACACTTAAGATTCATGGAGCAAATCTTTCTGTGGCGAGAGTGACATCACTGATTTTAGATGAATGACTTTTATGCATGAAAATTCTATGAATTAAATGAATATGCAGATAAAATATTGGTATTATGTTTCTGTAAAGTCTTTTTTTCTTAAGAATTGAGTGTTTATTGGAAAGTTATTGAAGTTAGATTTTAAAAAAGTATTCACTATGACATAGTGGTAAAAGATATATTCTATTTTGAGTAGAAGTGTCTGTTAAAGAAATATAAACACACACACACACACACTTTTATACCTAGGAGAGTTACTCCTTAAGAAGCCTTTGTAAAGTTTGAAGTGATTTATTCAAAAGTCATAATCTCCTCAGTGAAATTAACATTTAAATTAAAGTCATCATCTAAATCATACATATAAAATTGAGAAAGGCCCATGAAGTGCTGTGAAGCCAACAACTGCTTTGGCAACCAGACTCTCCACTGAAAGACTGAAAAGTGGCTCACGTGTCAAAAAAATACATTCTTATTTATAAAATTTATAGTCTTAGGCTTTCATATAAAAGTATGGTTCTGTTCCAGATTTTAAGGGTCAGTTAACATCAACAAGGGAAAATAAAGCATTTCCTAGAAATTTGGAGATTTGCTAACAGGCCATGGGCTGCCCTCTAATAATCTTTTTTTCATCGTAAAAAAGCCATTTTAATTAGATGATTTCTAAGAGCTCTAAATGCTGCTTTTAAAAAATTTACTTCCATTAAAAACTAAATTTGAGGGGCTTCCCTGGTTGCGCAGTGGTTAAGAATCCACCTGCCGATGCAGTGGACACGGGTTCGAGCCCTGGTCTGGGAAGATCCCACATGCCACAGAGCAACTAAGCCCGTGCGCCACAACTACTGAGCCTGCACTCTAGAGCCCGTGAGCCACAACTACTGAGCCCACGTGCCACAACCACTGAAGCCCACATGCCTAGAGGCCGTGCTCCACAACAGGAGAAGCCACCACAATGAGAAGCCCACACACCACAACGAAGAGTAGTCCCTGCTCGCCGCAACTAGAGAAAGTCCACGCGCGGCAGTGAAGACCCAACGCAGCCAAAAAATAAAATTAATTAATTAATTAATTAATTTTTTAAAAAAAAAGTATGTTTGATTTCTGAGGTATGAACATACTTTATTGGATTACCTGGTTAGTTTAGGCCAAAAACAAAGATCTTTAAGTATGGTTACTCGAACAGTTGATTGGGTAATAATAAAAATATAGAAACATATTTATATTTCTTTAAGTTTAGTTAAATGTGAGAACCTCAATTACTTTGAGGAGTCACGACATTTGAAACACAATCTTGAAGTTAGGCTGTAATGGACCGTCTAATAGGAAAGCAGTCCGACTGGTTTCTTACTTTACCACCCTGCTTCCTGACTTTTCTGCCCTGCACTTTGTGCTTGTAGACGGGCTGTGTTGTTACCTTTCAGATGATTTGACCTCACAGGTCTCTTGTTCTAAATGTGCAGGTTGAATGTCCCTGTATTCTCTGTGGTAAATTGGCCTTGAAAGCTTTTTGTTTCCCAGCTGATTAGAATAAAGGCAAAGTTATATCAAATCATACCTAAGCAGTTTGACAATCTCAACAATTTCTTCCTTTCTTTTTCTTTTATAAAAGTAATACATGCCTATTGTGAAAATTAAGTACATTTTTAATGGTATAAAAAAGAAATGAATGGATTGCCCATAATTGTGGCACCCATAGATAACCACTGGTGTTTTTCATTCCAGTCTTTTTTCAATCCATTTTTACATAGATTAGGTCATCCTATATATGCAACTGTGAATTCTGAATTTGATACTTGGAAAAATACATATTATTTTGAAGAGAGCATTTTGTAAACATTTTTATTTTATTACTTCATATGAAGGTATCATAATTTACTGAATTATTCCTCTGTTGAACATATATGTTTCCAATATTCTGATATAAGTAATACTGTGATACATATTTTGGTGCATAAGTCTTTGCATTTGAATTAGTTTCTTAATATTTCTATAGATGGAATTACTGGTGTAAACAATAAGCATTTAATGATCTTATTATATGTTGTCAAATTACCATCTAGAAAGATAGTAATGGTTACATTTCTGCTAGCAATATCAGAGAATACCTGTGTCTCTGTATTCTTGCTAGCATTGAGATGTTCTCAATTCAGAATTTGAAGTCTGTATTAAAGACCATACAATCCACAGAGTGATTCCATCATGGTTAACTGAAACTTCAAAGTATCCAAACAACAGTAGAAAATGTTTTCCTAAGCTTTTGAATTACTGAGCAAATTTCCTCAGTTCTTCATGTTGTGTGTGTACAGACACAGCTTGTTCATGTTGAAAAGAACTCTCTATTCTTTCCCACTGTACTAATGGCATTTTAGTTCTAAACAGGAAACATACTTGGTAAAATTTATTTAGATTTATCTAGATCAGTGCACATGGGCATATATGTGCACACGCACACATACACAAACACACGCAAGTTGGTCAACTTTACAAGTTTCCTCATCAATAGCAAAGTTTAGAAATACTGTCTCTCATCTCCTCCCATCTCTCAACACACACTGTTTGAGGGGCCAGCTTTATTAGCTTTGCAGAATCAGACCAGTTGGATTTTATTCAGATGTTCACATGGAAAAAAGGTTAGTTCAAATATGTTACTGATACCACATGATACAGATAGTTTCTAAAAATTCGAACCACTTTTTTTGTTTAATTAGCACCATTTACTTTGCATTCACTGTGTCCCATCTACTATGCTAGGAACCAAGTATAAGAACCACAATACCTGTCCTCAGCTGCTCTGTTTAGTGGGAAAATAGCTGCATGCATGGAGATGGATTCCAGAGATTTTCGATATAGAATCAACAAAGGTGGTATTCAGATGTAAGCTTAGTGAAGAATTTTGGTAGATTTTTGAAGTTTTACCATTATAGTTATAAAAATATTAAGATTAAATAAGTTTGTCTTATATTTAAAATCAATATATATTATTTTTAATCTTAGATGCTAATAGATCTTTCACACTCAAAAAACATCATAAAATGGACCTTCTGGGAAGATCTTTTAAGGATGGTTTCACCCACGAGATATACATTTATTAGTCCTCCTGTGGCAAAGCTGGAGGATGACATACAGTCTATGCAAAGTAATTTCAATTTGCAAATAGGCATCAGGAAGGCAGCCCAGGTCACCTTAATGTAGTGTTCAGGATTACATTTTTATATCCCAGTTACAATTCAGATCTTCGCTAAGGACCTGCTGGATGAAGGTTCAACATTGCTTTGTGTAGCCCTACCCCAAGGAGAGAGAAACAACCCATTATAACTGTGTGAATAGTCTATGCTGTAAGTTTGCACAAGATGTTTTGAGGATGGAGAGAAGGGTAGCATTAGGAATTTCTGATTATGACCTTACTGAATGTTTTCTGTAATTATCATGCTCCTTTGATTGCATATCTAAAAATTTGAGTAAACCTGATCTGTCACTTGATATGGGGGACAGTTAAAGTTCCCAGAAAGGACAAATGCAACTTCAGATTAATTTTAACTTAATTTCTTTTCCTTAGCACTTCTGAAGTGTTATTAGGTATAGGTGGGAAACAAATTGGGGAATAAATACAGTTAGAAGCAGGTCTACCCTTTTCAGCATATGAGGACACCTCAGTAGGCTTTGGGACATCAGCGGTCCATTTCAGAGATTTACTGCTTACCAGCTAGGGGAGCCCAGATGGGTTTCATCAGTACTCTGGAATTTGGTTTCTTTATATGACCAACTGGGAGGAGTAATCAAGCTCATAATTAGGAATTTCCACTGTATTAAGTATGAACATGCTTCAACTATTATATAGACTATACAGATATAGGGGGCCAATGTTGTCGTTTGACCAACTCCTGTTGCTTTAAACTTAATAGAAGTGTTCTATTGGTCATTACCAGGATTGTGATTGATGCAGCATTTATATGAAACCATATAATTTGGACTCAAAATGATAGTTTCCAGGCACAGGCCGTGATCTGGGGTCTAGCTGTTCTCTTTCATTCTTTCCAAATTAACCCCTGAGAAGAGGTTCTGCTCTGGTCTCACAAGAGCCTTTCCCAGTCCTCAGATAGCCCAGGCACATTCCTGACATTTGCACTTACTGTTCCCTTGCTGGGAATGTTCTTCCTCTCTTGGCTTGCTGCTTTCCTTCTTGTGGGTTTCTACTTCAGTGTCACTTCCTTAGAGAGGGGCTTCCTGACCAACCCATCTAATTTATATTATATTGTAGCATATGTCATTACTTTATATATTTATTTCTCTTTTTCTTCTCTGTCTCTTCACTGTTATATAATCTCTGTGATGGCAGGAACCAAAGAAGTTTTGTTCCCTTCTGCTTCTTCAGAACCTGGAATAAGGCCTGACAACTAGTTAGCTCTCAAAAATACTTGTGGGATAAATGAATGTTAAGTAGAGAGTTGTAAAGATATACTATTATCAATATAGGCTTAAATACCCTGACCCGGAATCAGAATGCTTAATGCATGTGCGCTCTGGTCAGTTGCTCCGACTTGACGAAACTGATTGTTCCTTGAGCAGACCCATCAGTGCAATGGAAGTTCTGTAAGTTGACATGAAGGTCTTAGCTGACCTATTTCCCAGGGATCTTTCTCTAAACCACACTTGTCTTGTTTGTTTTTATTTTGTTGTTCCCTTGCTCCTGAAATGAAAGTACTTATTTCCCAGTTAGATTCCTAAACAATTTATTCAAGAAAGGGCCAATAGATGAAAATGGATGTATTAGAATTACTTTGAAGTTATAATGATCCTGAGACTTTCCCCACCTTAAGTAATTTGATTTTATTCCACTTAATTTATTGGAAATCATATATCTTTATAAGCATACCTGTGAAATAATGTAATTTAATTTAGTTTTTGCTTCTGGCCGTTACAGGGAAGACCTCACCTGTTTACTTTGATTTTTACTATCAAACAAATGTTGTTAGTTTATTCAATCAAACAGTATACTATAGAGAAAATGTTCATACTTAATTTTATTTTCTTGCCTAAAATGGCTTTTAAAAATTATTTAATTACTCATTTATTAGAGAAAAGAATATGTATTCAGTATTACAATATAATCACCTATTATAAGCCAAGAACCGTGCTAGGCATAATAAATTGAATAAAATGAAATTCTTCTACGTTCATGAGGCTTTCAGCCTTACAGTCGGGATGGGTTTGAGGTGGACAAGTAACTCAGCAGATACAGTGTTCTGGGCTAAGTGATGGAGAGATGAACAAGGTGCTCCTGGATTGCACATGAGGGATACTTAATGTTCTCCCAGGTCATGGTGGATGAAAAAGGCGACATACAATCTGAATCAGGAGTTATCCAGGTGAAGGGCTGGAGTGGGGAACAGTGACTAGAGATGAGGCTGGCTGAAGAGAGTAGGTAGGAACCAGATTATGAAGATCCTTACGAGAATTTTTAAGTGGTTATAATTTAATCTTGAGATTTAATGTGGGGCTTTTGAAGTGTTTTAAGGAGGAGAATGGTATGTTCAGATCTTTGTTCTAAAACAAATCACTCTGGCTTCCATATCTGGGATGAATTTGGGGAGTTGTTTGTTTGTTTGTTTTGCAGGGTTAGGGGATGAGGAGAGCTGGAGGTTATGACAGAAATCCAGAGCAGATAAGATGATGGCTTGTATTACCTATTAAAGGTGTGCTGACCCACTGATGAAAAGTCTGTTCCATTTTTTTCCTAATAAGGTGTCAACCAATCCTGTAAACTAAAAGTAAATAAAAAAGTGATATGCTTGCATGGATGCGTTTTTCAGGAGTAAACTTATTTCCTTCCCATGAGTGGCTGTGGTATAGATAAAGCCAGGGTGATAGGGATAGTTCTTTTCAAAATCACCTCTGTGTTCACTTTACATGTTAGGAGGTGAACACAAGGGAGACCTGTGTACTCAGACGTCCTGTCCCCAACTTCAGTTAGTTAGTTGCCAGTGGTTTTGAGGTAAGTTGTTTTTGTTATTCTTTTCCCTTCAGTGCTTTCCTATGACAGTAGCATACTTTAACTAGAGTTGAACGTGGCATTTGCCCAGGAGAAACATGTACACACAGGGGATGCTGACAAGTCTATGCTGGCCTTTTCTTGTCACTGCATTACCACTTGGCTTTGTCTTGTCTAGGTATCTGAATGGAGTGGGGAAAAATGGAGCTGCCCCAGTACTCCTGGAGCTAGCCAATGAGGTAAAGTTACTGTTATTATTTTATTTAAACTTACATAAAACCTAAGGGGCCTATCTAGAGTAGCTTTGCTTAGAATTATAATTAACCTTAAAAAAAAGAAAAAGATTTTGAAATGCAGAGCAGATAAAGCATTTTATCTTAGATGCAGTAGACATTTAAATTGCTCCCTGGTCTCTTTGTACTTTTAATAATTGGACCAAGAACTTCATTTATTAATAAATCAGTTAACATAATTAGTCTACTTCTTTTAAAGCACATGTGTAAACAGCTTCTTGGTTTCTTATTTTGTGGGAAATTTCAACCAAACAGCTCAGGACATGTTCTTCTTTAGATGTGTTGTTTTAATTTAGTGTGAGACATACCTGTGTCAAGTACAGAGATGTATGCCAAGAAAATCTATGCTGTCATAAAAGTGAAGAGAGAAATTGTGTACCTAAAGATGTAACATTTACTTGATTCATTTGTTGTTGTTGGCAAACTTTTATTATAATAAGAGATACATGCCTTCTAGAAAAGCCCTTCTTTATATGAAGAAGCATACTCTTCTTATTAACACCAAGCATGAAGTGATTTGTTGAACTTATCTGTTAACTCTTACCTGCTTCTGTTTGGGGAAACAATAATAGTCTTACATTTAAAAAAGGAAACCCCAAAGACTTCCCATGAATGAATAAGCTGTAAAAAGTTCATAATAGTTGCAGAGAGCATACAGAAAAAATAAAATATTTAATTCCTAAACTTTAAAATATTTATCCACTGTAATAAGAGCAATACAATATTTAGTCTGACTTGGAACTGCTTATGCAAACCTCATAGGGATGGAATGAAATGTACACTACTTTTGTGTTGCATTATGATGGAAAACATAGAAGCAAGGCAGAAAATGTGTATTTGCATTAAAGATGACTAGGTGCTGTGAGCATTAAGTGTTGCAGTAG